TAGTTTCAAAATTATTTTTTATTTGTTCTTTCAATTTCATTTTAGAACATTTAATTATATAGCCGCCACAATTTTAAAGTAACTAGTGTGAGTATCTCACCAATGTAAACTTTCAATTATGATTATTCGTTACTACATGAAGCTACATATTTAACCTTACGGTCACCGTTCAGATTCGACATTTTGTCACATGGTAGCCTTGAAGTATTATGAAAAACTACCAAAATTGAAAAATACAGTTTTAAACATTCTTTACTTCAACATGGTGCCGACGATATCTAATATTCTATGTTTATCATATGTTTCTGTTAATCCGTTTTTGATAATTCGGATCCACTTATAATATTTTTCAATCCTGATATCGAATAAACAAAAAGTACAGTTTCGATAGAACCAGTTTCTTTTGACCTGTTGCATCTAACAAATGAAAAAATACAGTTGTTTTTATTTTACTCGTATGCTGATTAATTATCTTTTTATGACACCTTAGGATATAAATAGGAGATACATTTGCAACATTTTAAAACTGTTACAGATATTGAGTTAAGCGACATCAAATCCCAACATGATTTTGCTCATGCAATTACTATTGCAAAGGATTGCATAAAAAAATGTGTCAATTAATTAAAAATTAAAGATGCCCTTTAATCTTTAATGAGTAACGCTTACAACTTTCACATATTATACTAAGATTTAGATGTACAATATTTCATATAACTTTGGAATAAGAAGACTGAAGGCTGTGAGTGGCTGTGACATCCTTCCTGGCTGCCTAGGACGGCAAGAATTAAACCATTAAAAGATCTTCAACTTCTTTTTTGCCCTTTCGTTATCCTCCACTTGTTTCAGTTATGCAACCGTTTCCTGTCTATTCCAGTCTCGTCGGATTTTACATAAGCATCTTTAAGGTCAACCATATCTGGAACAGATTTATATGTGCCTTATCGAATGCATTGTGCATTTTTCCGCATATTACCAACGAAAAATTCCGAAAATCTCTACTATACAATATCAACGTCATTTATTTGGATTGTTTTTCTATTTATTTATTTTACTTATTGTTTATTTAATTTTGCTACGAATTCCTGTATTTTATTTAATTTTAACTCTAAGTTACATTTCCTTGGTTTATTATATTTTTGCCTTTGTTATATAGATGTATATTTTTTTTATTATTTATTTATTTTTTATCCATTATTTTTTTATTGTATTGTATATATGGTATGAATGTGCCTCACTCATAAAAAAAATAAATAAAAACAAATATTTGGATAGCATTGTAACTGCTCTATCATTGCAGGTTTTTAACAAATTGAAATTATGTTATATTAGAGACAATCGAGAGTATATATATATATATATATATATATATATATATATATATATATATATATATATATATATATATATATATATATATATATATATTGTTATAAAATATTGGTATTCATTATTATTTTAATAATGTATTAAAAATTGTATTTATTAATGTATTAATTTAACAGTATCATGTCTCAATATTCAATATGTTGGAAGGAGTACGGTGCTAGTTCGTTAATAAGAAAATGACTTTTCATGTGTTACTCATGTAAGCGTGATTGATATTGAAAAGAAAAACATATATGATTATAATTTAAGTGTAATATTAATGACTATTGGTGTAAGGTATTTTGTAATATTAGGTTAATTTTAACTGTTATAATTAATAATAGAATTGTGATTTTTATGTAATAATTATTATAATTAATTTTATATTTATTATTATCTTGAAAATTAAAAATCTCACAGGACGTGACAATTTGAGGTCCAGAATGCGATGTTCAACCAAGACAAATCACTACATACCACTTTTACCCTTCGACGTGAAACTTGCCCCCTATTTACCTTGACAATATCCAAATTCTTCAGACAGACAAAGTTCAATATCTTGGACTGACCTTTGACAGAAGAATATGGGACCAACATATCAAAAACAAAACAAAAACTCTAAACCTAAGACTACGCCTATTGTACTCACTCCTTGCAAGAAATTCGAAATTAAAACTTCGACAGAAATTGAATACATATAGTACATACATACATAGTACATACATATACCTACTCAAGCCTATTTGGACCTACGCTTTACAGATATATGGGACAGCCAAAAAGACTCACATACGTAAATTACAGACTTTTCAATCTAAAACTTTCAGGACTATCACCAAAGCTCCCTGGTTCGTCAGTAACATTACTCTACATAAAGACTTACAGATGCCATTAACTGTTGGCATCTGTAAGTCTTTATGTAGAGTAATGTTACTGACGAACCAGGGAGCTTTGGTGATAGTCCTGAAAGTTTTAGATTGAAAAGTCTGTAATTTACGTATGTGACCCAACAGTTAACGACCACATACGAACATACTACAAACGATTTCATAATAACTTACACGGACATACAAACTCATTGATTCGAGGCAAGGCCACAACTAACATGCCCGATAGCACCCGAAGGAGGCTTAAAAGAAGCTGGATGAGGGATCTCCTCCACTAACTATAAATATTACGCTCAAGACAGGAAGGACGCCGCTGGGTACTCCTCTCCCTCACGCCTATTCCAAGACCAATCTCTTCATCTTGACATCACACTCGCTGATTGTCGGAACTTCTGACAGGTGTGAGTTGAAGAATCAAGTTAAAAAAATAAAAAATAAAAAGAATGCCATGTAAGTACTATTATTATTTTTTAAATTATTAAATAATTGTCATTATTTTATTGCTCATCCGAAGTTATGTAGACTTTTTTTGTTTATTTTCCCTATCGATTATTTAAAAAATCAAATTTAATTATTTCAAATAGAACATTCCTCCTCCATGTCCAGAAGCCACACGTTCCTAAATTTTATTTTATGAATAAGTTTTATCTAAGGATGAATAGCGAGTTGAAATTCTCATTGTATCTCGCTTAACCTCTCTTATGAAAAGATTATGATAATTTTAAGTTAATATATCCAGAACATTAACAGTCGAGTTTGTTTGTAGGGACCTGTTATTTGTGTCAATTCATCCGTGATTTTTTTTCCAATTGGTTGTCACAGCTGTTTTTCCCGACAATCTATTTCCATCTGTGGTTACCCACGGATCTCGATTATAGAGAAAAACCCGGGCGGCTGTTCATTTTTTCCAGTTGTTTTAACGGCGTCGGTGTGAGTTCATCTCGTTTCAATAGTTATCGTCGAATCATTATTCTCGATCCCTTCTTCGAAATCCTAACTTTTCCAACCGTTCTTATTCCCTTGGTGGATAGAGATATCGCAATGAACGGTGGGATGAGGCTGTGGAGACAATACTAACTATTTTGATCTTGCTATTTGGAAGTTCTAAATTAATCTTGTACTTCGACTGTTTTTCAATATTATTTCAAATGATGAGCGTTAAAATAAGGCTAACATAACTTCGACGTCAACCAGTGTAATGCGGACCTCATCTCTTATTTCCTTACAGAAAATTAATATTTTGTCATTCACTGCTTCATTTATGTAATTTAAGTTTCTATGAATCACAATCAAGTCAAGAAGGGATACCGCTGGGCATTCCTTTCCCTCACGCCGATCAAGCCACTATGATCAGCCCGGCCCAAAAATCGACCTCATCAATCGACCTCATCAACCGCAGGCGAAGGTTTGATGGTAAATTAAGAAAGTGTATGTAATTCTGAGAAGAACCTTGTCTGCCGTACCAGAGCCGCTTATTTAAAAAATAGCGGCTAGTTTAAAGAATGATAGGCCTTAATAATTTCAAGATTGAAACGGAAAATCCATTGTGAAAAATCCGAGAAAAGTTTATATATTTTCAACTTGTATATATGGGTTTAGACATACAAAATACAAAATTTCTAATGCGGGCCACCAAGGGAAAACTTTTTACAGCCAACAAAGTATATTTTTTTGTTTTGGAAGCCTTGGCAATTTCAGCCAAAAAAGTCAGATTTGTTTTCGATATTTTTTTGTTTTTTTCACCTATAACTCCTACATATGCATCAAAGCGAAGGATGTACGCGGTAATAAATTAAAGAACGTTAAATTAATCGTCGAACTAGTACATCAACTTTATAATTTGTTTATGTGGTAAGGTCAACCACCGCAGATTTTTACCTAATTTTTCAAAAACTGTGACATATTATTGCCATTTTTGAATTTCTGGTACGGCAGACAAGGTTGTTTTTACTCAGAATGACATACACTTTCGTAATTTACAATCAAACTTTCGTCTGCGATGAGGGCTATTTCTGGGCTCTGGCTCCAAGACTATCAGTATTGGGAATATTACTGCTGTCGGGAATGACAGCAGATTCGATAATTGTCAGTACTTCTGACAGGTGTGGGTAAAGCTATAAAGTTAAAAAAAATGTCTGAGCATATTTAGAATTTTTTTTTTTAAATTATATTGTTTTTATCAACTTTGTATAGTCATTCCCGTATGGTCGTAGTATTTTTATTTTTTTTTTAATCAACTTAAATGGTCCTTTGTGTTGGCGATCGGATGTCATTGTCAAACTGATATTTTAAATTTCGCTTTGTTTGACCTTATGTTTATACTGCATTGAAAGAAATTAAAACCTTAGAAAAAATCAGGAACGATTAATTCTTGGAAAAAAATATTTTAAAGAAATATTTCAAAATTATATAATACATTCCATTTTAATATTTTTTAAATATTATAATAAATATACTGTACCTAATTAAACCTATATTGAATTATTCAATTATTAAACTCGAATATTAATAAAATGGAGTTTTCTAATGGCTAGAACCACTGTACTATATTCATCTACAAAATACAATTTATGAGGAAGAGTCATAAACAACCTTACACCAACTCCTCAATTGTACTAAAAATATACGTATTTTTGAACTTCTATCTTATTTTATCTTTCTTCTACTTTTTTAAGGCAAATAGGAGAGTTGTTGTAAGCTTTTACCCGATGTTGTTTTAGAAAAAAATACACGCACCTTCAATTTTCAAACACCTTTCTCTATTATTATTTTCCTCCAAGATATCCAAAATCGCTGATACGTAGTAGACCATCCCGCGATTTGCTGACAGAGCCCTGCAGCTTTCGTGACACTCCGTGCAACACTCCTGGGCGACATTGCCCCCGACTGTGTCGTACTAGTAAATAGAAAACTTAAGACGTCACGTAGAGTCGAAGGCACAGCAGACATCAACTGGTAAGCAACAACAAGAGAGCCAATGACCCCTCTGGCCAATGACTTCATGGACGCTCTTGAGGAAGCAGGAAACGCAATCGATTCGAAAAAAATGTTGTCATCGCATGAAAAGTACGTGTTTGCAGTGAGAAGTACAATGGTGTCAGTGATGTGTTATGTGCCAAGGATAAGAAATTATATAAAAAGAAGTTTTTTATTCCAGGGATTCATGTTCTTTCAGAATATATTTTCGAAAAAATAAAGTTATCCCATTTCATCTTGTCAACGTTCTATTTGACACATCACAAATTTTAGTGAAAATTTATAAATCTCCTACAATTAATGCACTTTCAGATCATACCTTAAATGAAAAAAATAATTCTAAAACATGAGAACTAATATTATTTCAAAGTTATTATACAGGTATATAAAATATCTGTTGCTAAAAGTCACTCCGAGTACCATAAGAAAATCATATATTACTAACAAAAGAAAGAGCATGACTGTGTCTATCAAATATCAATATATCATTGCTGGGATTTCTATTATAATGAGTTTTATTACAATTTAAATCTAATTCAGTAATTTATAATTTATTTTTATTGATAAGAATGATCAAAATCTCTTTCCAGATATCATAATACATGCACATATAAACTCAAAATCTCAACAAACGATTGTTGAGATTTTGAGTTTTTAAAAAGTTTTGTTGCGACTTAAATATAATTCAGTAAAATTAAATTTACAAGTTATTTATAAATGTAAGCATTGGTCGTTTATCGTATTTGAGGTATTGAAGCACACATGTGCCAAAATTGTAACAACACACTTCAGACCATCAAGCAATTATTAAAAAAGAGCTCCATACTTGAAACAGTTGAACAAAAATTAATAATCTAAAAAAATATTACAAGGCAGTGAAGAAAAAATCCTCCCCTTTGTTCCAATACCTAAAGGAAACTCATTAATATAAGAGAATATAAAATAATTACTTATCGACAATGACTTTTGGGGTGAGATGAAAAAAAAATTAAATAATGGAATATATTATGATATAAAAAATTGTGAATAGTTGTTAGTATGTATGTAAGTAGTTAAGTTAGTTAACTAATTTCTTATTAACTGCTATTATTTAATATATTATGCCAAAACATTTAATAACATGAACTGGCCAGTGGTGTTCCTATTTCGTCATTTATTTATGTTTTATCTTTTTTCCCTTCTTTTTGTTGAATTTCTGTTCATTATATTTAATACTTTGATTATTTTAATTTAATGAAAATGTACTTTTTTTTGTTTTTTTTCTTTTGTAATTTCTTCAATATGATGCTTTTCTTAACCTAACTCCTGCTTCACCAAGTCTCTCCATCTCTACCGGTCCATCGCATCCTCCTCCTACAGTCCCTTACTATCATTCATGTTATACCTGTAAATTTAGCTGATTGTAATAATCAACAATATATAGAAATGTTTTTATTCTATACTTCTATTAAAATTAATGTATTTGTACTCTCTTTTTTATCTTTAAAAATTAAATATAGATGATTCTAATTGACTTTTTATTTATTTTTTTAAATTCTTCCTTATATCGAACAAAACAAATTTAATATCAAGAACTATTTATGGTCAATATTGCTTTTTGTTTTAACTTCAATGTTTACACACCCACACCTGTCAGAAATATTTATAACTTCTAAGTATTCAACTATTAAGTAATTCCGAAACTGACATAATCTTCCGATTCCTAGTTGCAGAATGGCTGACTGACCCAGCGATCCAGAGAGCTATATCTAGAAGACTCCAGTGACCTCACTGATGTAACAGACTCCAGCTGATCCTAGAAGAGACCGTAGCTCGCTCCAGTGGCTTCCACCGCAGAACATCATCCTCTTACATAAGTCAAGGACACAGAGGGAACATTTGTCCGCCTGTCATGCAAATCTCCTATCAGCGGGTGGGATACTTGTAGGTCCATTGTGAAATGTTGTATTGTACATGACATTTACATATCCAATTTCTGAAGAAAAAAAAATCATTTAAAAGCGTAAATAAATTAAAGTATATAATCAATATTTATAAAATTATTGATATTAGTCTAATATATAGTAAAATAATTATTTTACGTTATGCATGAATTATGTAATTGATTTATTATTTTCAATAATCAGCCTTTGTAATCGACCAAGAAAAAAAGTTAATACTCCATAAAATATGAGGTTTTACGTTTCAAGATCTATGGTATGAATTTCAAAGGGAACCTGGGGATGATCCTTGAAAATCGACATTACCAAGTGCCCTTTCCTTTCAAAATGGTGGTCGATATAGACAATAGCACTTACAGGAATGTAGTTATTCCAATAAAATATAGTCTTGAAGTAATTTAAATTAATGTATGTAACATAATTCTTCGAAAAGCTCTTTCCTACCAAGATGGCTGCCGAAAAACTTGTATCGTATAGACTACAGCGCCTAAACGAATGAACAGATTTCCATGAAATTTGGCTAAAGACTGATCCTTCGGAACCCTTTAAATTTATATACATAACATACTCCACCGAAAAGAAGCTGGTTAAAAGTTACGAGGCTTGGTAAAATTAGATAGTTGAATGACTAAAAAAATATACATTTTTTTGTTGATGTATGATCATTTAAAAGTTTATGGAATTTTCTCTCCCAAAAAAAAAAAAAAAAAGAATCGTCGAGTTTGGTGAAAATGTATGTTGTTCTAGATATTTTCCATACATTCTGCTGCAAAGGTGATATCATATATGATATCTTTTGTTTTGATTTTTTGAAAGTCTTACATCACTTGAAGCAATAGAAATTGTTGTATATATTTTCAGCAAATTACTAATGATGAATAAACAGAAATCATTCAGACCTATATTAGGGATCTCTTTTTATTTATTTGCCTCTGTGTGACAGGAATATATATGATATACAACTGTTTGGAAATAAGAAACTGTTGTGTAATTACCTGCAGCGTTTTTTTAATTATACTATATTTGTTATTTTTTAACAGGAAACATTTAATTAGAAAATGGCTGTGGTTTAATTTCCAGGAACGGCGTGTTTTCCTCCAATTAAAACAGTAATGAAGCAGAGATAAATGTCGTATTCGAAGCACTACGTTTTTCAGGTCAGTGGACATTTAATATTGCTTTAAAAATCAATTAAAAAGTTAAATTGGATTGATATATATCGAAATGATTACTGGCTAGTTTTCCTGGAAAGAGTAAGCTAGGAGTTGGGAACAGTATGACCAGAATCGGTCTAGTTTGATAATGAACCGTAACCAGTATTGCACTTGACCTACTGGGGCCATTCGTACCGGTTCTTATGTCATTAGTTTCTATTGAGGACGCTATGAGACTGAATTGCTTTACTTATTTATTGTCTGTAACAAGACTACTCAAATGATTATGTGATATAAGCATATACATGATTGTACATAGAGGTTTCCACTGTCCCTTAGTTAAGGATTCATCCTCCTCTCTAAATTTATATCTTTAATGTTTACTGAGACTACTCATATGATCGATTTTCATTGTTAGCTTGTGATTTTTTTTTAAACTTATTTTTTGAAAAATATTACCATCTGTCTCAAGGGATATTTATAATAGTGTTCAGAGATCACATTCACACTTTATGAACAGTAAATAAAATAAATTATACAGAAAAATAATATATATACAATAAATAAGAATTAAATAACCTAAAAATAAATAAATGAAAAGAACAACCTGGCGAGAGAACTGTACCAACTGTGAAGGAAAAGCATGACTCCAGAAGATCCCTGCGCTTCTCTCTCAATCGCGTCACTAGGACTAAACCCAGTAGAGATTGAGCAAGAATGCTTTAGCCACATATACTCATGTCGTGAGTGGAGAATCTGGCCATTGCCAGAACTCCAATATTTACAAACTATAAAAGGTCGCGGGGCCACTGCCGTTTTACTCTTCTTGGAGGATTATAGGGATGGGTGGTGCTGGATAGGGATTGTGCAAAGGGATGAGGATGATGGGAAAGGTTCTGGAGAAATTTGGAGAATTTTGCTGTGATAAAGTCTAGGACAAATGGGATATTAAGGTCATGGTGTAGGGTTTTGTTGGTTACATAGAAAGGAGAATCGACTATTGTTCAAAGGACTTTTGATTGGAAGGATTGGATGCGTTTGATGTTAGAAAATTTTGTTGTTCCCCATAGTTCAAGTCCGTAAGTCCAAGTAGGTTTCAGTACTGTCTTGTAGATAAGTATTTTATTTTCAATAGAGAGTTTAGATTTTCGATTTAGTAGTATGTATAGTTGGCCGTATCGTCGGTTAAGTTCCTATCTTTTAAGTCTAGTATGAGGGTTCCACGTTAGTCGTCTGTCTAAGAGAAAGTCAACGTACCTTTCAAGGTACACCGGACTGTGTCTGAAAGGAAGGTGGATGGAATTAAAGTGTACTGGTGGACAGGAACTGCGTTTTGTGATATTACGAAAAAAAGTATTAAATATTTTTAGCAAATCCTCCAAGGATTGTACAAAGCTAGTCTTGAAAAGGAGAGAGCATTGTTAACTTCTATATAAAAATCTATGATTTAGCTGGTTGACACTCGAGGAAACAAAATGAGTGATCTTAAGAGCGAAACAAAATCAATTCTGTATTTCAAAGTTCAAGAGGTGTAAAGAACCACTCTCGTTTAGGAAAGAAAAGTGATTCAAAACTCGAAGATGAGTGATCAAAATATAACCAAAATACGTAAACCATATTAAGTTAGCAGAACCGACTTACCTTACTTTCGCTCTATCAATATTTAGAATATTTTAAATTTCACATTATGAAAGTACATTAATTTCAATTTGTTTTTTAAATAATCCTCAATCGGACCATCCTAAAAATTTAAACTTCAGTGACCCCTCACGTAAGTGGATATGTCCAATAATTTGTACAAGTAACCATCTTAAGCGTCAAAACATTTTAAGGAAAGTTACGGATGTACCTTTCTCTCATACGTTACCTACATAAGTTTTGTACGTTGAAACAAAAATAATCTGGATTCCAACCTCTGTGTCATTCGCTTCTA